GGGACAGAAAGAAAGAGAGAAAGAATGAACTTAGGTAAGCAGAAACAAGGGCTTGTGTTGCAAGAGAAAGGAAGAAATAAAAAGAAATGAAGTTAATATCCACACAGATTGATGCCAATTAACCAGCCAGGATGGGGGGGGTTCCGACTGGCACCTCGGACATCGCTTCACTCACTCGCGACGATTCGGAGGCAAACTGTAGTGTTTGAAGCGGCCTCTGCCATATTCTGTCTGAACGGGCTGCTCCACTGTCCCCACTGAGGGGGCAGTCGAGCCTGAGTAATGGTCCCTTTCTCTCCGCCGCTGGCCTCCCCAACCACTCCTCCTCCTCCTTCGTCCCTCTCTCCTCACTTTTCTTTTCATCCAGCACACCCCCCCTCCCCATACTACAATGCTGCCCCCCTCCTCCTCTCCACCTCGCTACCTCTAAAACAAACACAAAAAAGAAAAAGAACTCCAATCACTCTCGATCACGCTTTGCCCACCTGCCCACAAGACTAACCCTCTTTGTCTCCCCCTCCATTTCTACCCCAGAACAACTTTTTTTTTGTGTCCCTCGGCCCCTCCCTCCTTCTCCCCACATTGGTCCTCGCAGCAGAATGTGGCAGCAGTGCAGTTTGGGAAAACAAGGCCGATAGACTCAGTCAGATGTGATAAAGTGTTCCTCTCTCGCTCAGGGGACTCTGCATAAGGAAACATTTTTAAGGGGATGTTTTTTTATTCTCCGTTCTTCTTTTTATAACTCGGATGCCCCCAGCCTGTCAAACACAATCAAATTACAGGGGCCTTTAAATCCTGAGCATTCACTTAAAGCAAATGTGTGTGTGTACTTTGGTGAAATTTTCCTCAGACCAGAAGTTTGATAATGAGTTGTCCAACTAAATAGTTCTGCAAAGATTTCTCTGGCTCATCTGAACGCATGCACGCGCGCCTCTTTGTTCTCACGAGCGCCACTTCAAAGAGCATTATGGGACACTCGTGTCCAGAGGAATGCCCTTAAACAAACATATCAACTGGGAGAAGCAATCAACATGTCACACGTAGACAAACACCCGCCAGGACAGAAATGCCAAGAATTCGCTGATTGAATGGAACCCGATGGGGAACAACAGGCGTGGATGTACATTATAACACTACGGGCTCCATTCCCAGTTCGAGCTTTACAGCTGGTTCACTGATTAGATTCAGTGGCTGATGTCAATTAGGGATGCGTTTCGGTAAAAAGGCTTCGTTTCATATCCCGTTTAAAAAAAAACACAAAACCACGACCCGAATTCGCATATGAACGGTGGGTTGCTTCAGAGTCGTATATCTCGCTCACTGGGGTAAAAAAAATTAAAAACAGACTTCTGCCTCGCTACATATGTCACTCCAGATCTACACTCTGAGAGAACCAGGGAGGGTTCACTATAGCACCGCAAAATGGTTCGTTAGCCTTGACACCATGGAACAACGCTCGCGAAAAAGTGTTACATCTCTATAAATAGTTTGATAATTATGGAAGCCCAATCCCGATTTAATATCTCAAAACATGACTTATAATTATGGCTTACAATCTCAAACTCAAAATAA